GGGTCAGATGTCTTAAAATCTTCAAACGCCTTCTTCTCAATAACCAAAACGCCCAGGGTACTGATATTGGGCCTGTAGCATGCTGGGATGAAGGGCTACCAAGTTTGTTCAAATGAATGACCTTGACCAGCTTTCAAGGTCACAGGGGTCAAATGTTTTAAAATCTTCAAACAACTTCTCAATAACCAAAAGGCCCAGGGTACTGAAATTAGGCCTGTAGCATGCTGGGATGAAGGACTACCAAGTTTAATCAAATGAATGACCTTGATCCACTTTCAACCTGATGTCCTTGTTCGACATTCAAGGTCACAGGCGTCATATGTTTAAATCTTTTAATAGGTTCTCATGAATCAATCACTGATATTCTGCCTGTAGCTGTATTTTAGTCCACTTTTAAGATTACAAATGTGAGATTAATACCAGGTGAGCGATGCAGGCCCATTGGGCCTCTTGTATACAACTTCTTAAAATAATATTTTGGACCTGCTCAAGGCTATTTCATGTACTATGATCATCTGTAGACGAAATAACAGAATATTCCTGGAATCTTTCAACTGATGATCCCACATGTACAATTACCAATGTTATCCAGGAATTTTAATTGCACAATATTCATGCCTTACCAAGGGAAGTAACTCTAACCCAGACTTTTCTTTTTTGCTTTTGTCAGTATACAATGTAGAAAATTAAAAAGCTCTGAAGTAAAAATCCTCATATTACTTGTCAACTCAGTACCTTTTACTTTAAAACAGAATCACAATGCATATACGTACTGACTTTAGATGTCAGAAAACAATTGAGGGAGAATTTTGTGTTAAACTAGGAAATTTTACATATTGTCCTGAAAGATTCAGTAAAATCCTTCCTTTACCAAATAGGTAGAGAAATTTACCCCTAACTTTGCACTTTACAATGACAGCCTATAAAAATACTTAAACTGAAAATAACTTTTTCACTCCCTATTTACATTAATTTATACTGGACATCATATTTGTGTTTTGTGAAGTTCGGTTTTTAGATGAACATTACTGTAGGACATGTTCTGTAGTTTTCCTAAGTCATTATCCGTGTAGGTACCCAGACAGGTGAATAGTACTAGTAGTAGCCTTGTATAAGTCTGAGATTTCTTTTAGTGGAATGATTCAATCTTCTTTACTTGTAATTAGCTTTTATCTTCTTGAAAATGAATTTATCATTTATGTTGTGCTTATAACATTACAGGTAGAATTGTCAGTGTTATTGGGAGAAGTTTGGCACTGAAGATTGCCCACCAAACGGAGGATGTGGAGTCTGCTGGAGGACTGCTGACTTATGTATGATCTTATGGCTTTATGTTTTTATCTTTACTTTAATTATATATATCTATATATATATAATCCTTTTTTATTATATATATATATATATATGCATATGGTCATGAATGTCTATTTACAGAAGAGCTCCACAAAGACTTGTAGAACATGTTATAGAAATAGCAACTATGACCTGAACATTAAACAGTAGAACATGTTATAGAAATAGAAACTATGACCTGAACATGAAACAGTAGAACATGTTATAGAAATAGAAACTATGACCTGAACATTAAACAGTATACTTAATGACACATTTGGAAAGTACACAGGAATGCATGTATGTATTGATATTGCAGTGACAATCCTCAATTGAAAAGTACAATGTAGATAATTAATAAAGAAGTAGGATCATTCATAGATAAATTAAATAAGAAACTTATATAAGGTACTGGTATAATATAAGTATGTGTTGTTTGGATGGTGGTCGCAGGTGGCTTTTGGTTACATGTATGTGTTTGTTGTTCAGCTGTCTAGGTTTGTGTGTGTTTGTTGTTAAGCTGTCTAGGTTTGTGTGTGTTTGCTGTGTTATTGTTGTTTAGACAGTGGATGATGATGAACTAATTGTGAGGTATTGATCTAATGTCTAAGTTTGTGTGTGTGCTGTGTTGTTGTTTAGAAGGTGGATGATGATCGTCTACTGGTTGAAATTTGTGTGTTTAGTCATGTGTGCTGTTTGTTAATAGGACGGTGCACGGCGGCGGACCCCAGGTGGTGTTTATATACAACTGTTAAAAAAGTGTAGTGATGTTACTTCAGAACAGACAAAGGAAATATTTGCAGAGGAGGAAATGAAGTATAAGAAAGAACAGCGGAAGACAAAAAGAGCAAGACGAAGGAGGTGATTTATGATTACACTTATAACTATAACAACACAGCTAAGATTAGTCAGCCTCTTTACATGCCTACCTTGCCTGTTTGTGAATAAATATGTAATTTTTCAATAACTAGAACAAATAAATTCTTACCTGATCATGTTGGAAAAATAAAATAACATGTTGGAAAAATAAAATAAAACTGTTTAACATTCCCCCCAAATCAAGAAGATAAACCTGTCATTCAGGCTGTCCAGATGATGACGATGAATAAAACTGTTTAACATTCCCCCCAAATCAAGAAGATAAACCTGTCATTCAGGCTGTCCAGATGATGACGATGAATGATCATAAAAAGTTCAAACCTGATGTGTGATTTTCCCTAATACTTTTTTTTAAATGGTTGCACTACCTTTCAAGGACAAGAGCAAAAATCAATCAGATTCTTTGCATCTGCTAGGGCTACCCACCACGTTTATTCTTTGTATAATAATAAGTTTTCAAATTATCATTCAGAAATGAGAAGTAACAATGGTGACCTTGACCTTGGTTAACCAGACCTTAAATCAATAGGCATATTCATAATCACTAGAGCAACCCACACACAAAGTTTTTACATCATACATTCGTACGTTCTAACGTTCTAAATTGGATCAGTGGAACAAAGCAATATTATAATTTTAGCAACAGTGACCTTGATCTCCATTGGATCACTACCAAAATCAATAAGCATCTATGCAATCACCATGGCAACCATCAAACCAAGTTTGTTGATAGCAGAATTAGAATGAAACTTGCTTTCTGTCATGTTTGTATCATTAGCTCATTATTGGACACTGTGATAAATACTGCCTGGCTACATGTTTCTTTACAAATACATGATGAAAGTAAAGAAAACGGTAAGGGAAATATCAGAGAAGATAGAAAAAGACTTTGTTCTGAAAGCCAAGATGTTAGATTTAAACATTGTAAAGCAGAAAACAGTTTGCTTTTTCCCACAGCTAATTCTTTCTGTCCTCTTGTTCAATGCATGTTTCCAGATTATGCTTTATTCCCCAGAAGTTTGAATGTAAATGCAAAAAGACAACTGTTATCCTTGCAAACTCATCTACATGTAGATCCACAGTTAAAAGTTAGATGTCTTCCCCAATGTAACATCAGTAGTCCAGGTTGCTGGGACTATTAAACTAAATGAAGAGTAAAATCGGCTTCTTCAATACGATATCTCATCTTTGTCATATTATGTTTATCATATTTTCAAAAATTCTGTCAAAGAGAAAACAAAATTCTTTACTTAATTATTATGTACTTCATTTCATTAATATGGTGGAATAAGATAGGGTTTTACGCTGTGAAAAATGCCACGAATAAAACGTCCCTTATTTTAACAATAATTCCTTTAAGATAATTTCAAAACTCACAGATTGGTCTCCAGGAAATTTGGCATGTTTGAGATAAGGTTTTAGAAAACAAATTCTTTCAATCTTTTTTGCCTTGAATATTTTGAAGGTACGCACTAAGGAATGAGGCAAAAGTACTACAGAAATAGAACTTGTATCAATAGATAAGGCTGTATTTCAGTGCTGAATAAGGGCATTTGATTTTCAAAATAAGAATTGGCTTTATAACATGTTTAATATATGCTGGCATGCTTTTAAAAAGTACATGGCTTACAGCTTTTTTATAGTGACATGTCAGTATTTCTGATTTATTTTAGTAATATTTTCCTAAGTGTTTGTTTTGCAAAGTTAGAAGTAAATGAATTTCATGTTTTAACCATTAATACTTATATCAATTGCAGACAAAACCAATTAAGAAAAATGTTACCACAGTCAAAATACACATCCCAGAACTCTAAAGGAAGTCGGCCACAGGAAGTTGAGATGGGTAATGAGAATAAGCCAGAAATAGAGGATTGTGATGATGACAGTGCAGAGGAAGTGGCCCAACAGGACATTGCTCTAGAAATTGAGGCAGCAAAACAATTGCAAGTTGAGACACAAAAAATGGACGATAATGACTTCTCATTGAATGATTCTGATGTAATTGATATTGAACTGGGCGAGTGTGAGACAATAGACTGACCATTGCTGTAGTAACTGTGTACCAACCTCCTACGAGTCACACAGTGCCTGCCGAGACAATAGACTGACCATTGCTGTAGTAACTGGGTACCAAACTACTACGAGTCGCACAGTTCCTGCCGAGACAATAGACTGACCATTGCTGTAGCAACTGTGTACCAAACTACTACTAGTCGCACAGTTACTGCTGAGACAATAGACTGACCATTGCTGTAGTAACTGGGTACCAAACTACTACGAGTCGCACAGTCCCTGCCGAGACAATAGACTGATCATTGCTGTAGTAACTGTGTCCCAAACTACTACGAGTCACACAGTTCCTGCCGAGACAATACACTGACCATTGCTGTAGTAATTGTGTACCAACCTCCTACGAGTCACACAGTGCCTGCCGAGACAATACACTGACCATTGCTGTAGTAATTGTGTACCAACCTCCTACGAGTCACACAGTTCCTGCCGAGACAATAGACTGATCATTGCTGTAGTAACTGTGTCCCAAACTACTACGAGTCACACAGTTCCTGCCGAGCCAATACACTGACCATTGCTGTAGTAATTGTGTACCAACCTCCTACGAGTCACACAGTTCCTGCCGAGACAATACACTGACCATTGCTGTAGTAATTGTGTACCAACCTACTCCGAGTCACACAGTTCCTGCCGAGACAATAGACTGATCATTGCTGTAGTAACTGTGTACCAAACTACTACTAGTCGCACAGTTACTGCTGAGACAATAGACTGACCATTGCTATAGTAACTGTGTACCAACCTACTACGAGTCACACAGTTCCTGCCGAGACAATACACTGACCATTGCTGTAGTAATTGTGTACCAACCTACTACGAGTCACACAGTTCCTGCCGAGACAATAGACTGACCATTGCTGTAGTAACTGTGTACCAAACTACTACTAGTCGCACAGTTCCTGCTGAGACAATAGACTGACCATTGCTATAGTAACTGTGTACCAACCTACTAGGAGTCGCACAGTTCCTGCTGAGACAATAGACTGACCATTGCTGTAGTAACTGTGTACCAAACTACTACGAGTCGCACAGTTCCTGCTGATACAATAGACTGACCATTGCTGTTGTAACTGTGTACCAACCTACTACGAGTCGCACAGTTCCTGCCGAGACAATAGACTGACCATTGCTGTAGTAACTGTGTACCAACCTACTACGAGTCGCACAGTTCCTGCTGAGACAATAGACTGACCATTGCTGTAGTAACTGTGTACCAACCTACTACGAGTCGCACAGTTCCTGCTGAGACAATAGACTGACCATTGCTGTAGTAACTGTGTACCAACCTACTACGAGTCGCACAGTTCCTGCTGAGACAATAGACTGACCATTGCTGTAGTAACTGTGTACCAACCTACTACGAGTCGCACAGTTCCTGCTGAGACAATAGACTGACCATTGCTGTAGTAACTGTGTACCAACCTACTACGAGTCGCACAGTTCCTGCTGAGACAATAGACTGACCATTGCTGTAGTAACTGTGTACCAACCTACTACGAGTCGCACAGTTCCTGCTGAGACAATAGACTGACCATTGCTGTAGTAACTGTGTACCAACCTACTACGAGTCGCACAGTTCCTGCTGAGACAATAGACTGACCATTGCTGTAGTAACTGTGTACCAACCTACTACGAGTCGCACAGTTCCTGCTGAGACAATAGACTGACCATTGCTGTAGTAACTGTGTACCAACCTACTACGAGTCGCACAGTTCCTGCTGAGACAATAGACTGACCATTGCTGTAGTAACTGTGTACCAACCTACTACGAGTCGCACAGTTCCTGCTGAGACAATAGACTGACCATTGCTGTAGTAACTGTGTACCAACCTACTACGAGTCGCACAGTTCCTGCTGAGACAATAGACTGACCATTGCTGTAGTAACTGTGTACCAACCTACTACGAGTCGCACAGTTCCTGCTGAGACAATAGACTGACCATTGCTGTAGTAACTGTGTACCAACCTACTACGAGTCGCACAGTTCCTGCTGAGACAATAGACTGACCATTGCTGTAGTAACTGTGTACCAACCTACTACGAGTCGCACAGTTCCTGCTGAGACAATAGACTGACCATTGCTGTAGTAACTGTGTACCAACCTACTACGAGTCGCACAGTTCCTGCTGAGACAATAGACTGACCATTGCTGTAGTAACTGTGTACCAACCTACTACGAGTCGCACAGTTCCTGCTGAGACAATAGACTGACCATTGCTGTAGTAACTGTGTACCAACCTACTACGAGTCGCACAGTTCCTGCTGAGACAATAGACTGACCATTGCTGTAGTAACTGTGTACCAACCTACTACGAGTCGCACAGTTCCTGCTGAGACAATAGACTGACCATTGCTGTAGTAACTGTGTACCAACCTACTACGAGTCGCACAGTTCCTGCTGAGACAATAGACTGACCATTGCTGTAGTAACTGTGTACCAACCTACTACGAGTCGCACAGTTCCTGCTGAGACAATAGACTGACCATTGCTGTAGTAACTGTGTACCAACCTACTACGAGTCGCACAGTTCCTGCTGAGACAATAGACTGACCATTGCTGTAGTAACTGTGTACCAACCTACTACGAGTCGCACAGTTCCTGCTGAGACAATAGACTGACCATTGCTGTAGTAACTGTGTACCAACCTACTACGAGTCGCACAGTTCCTGCTGAGACAATAGACTGACCATTGCTGTAGTAACTGTGTACCAACCTACTACGAGTCGCACAGTTCCTGCTGAGACAATAGACTGACCATTGCTGTAGTAACTGTGTACCAACCTACTACGAGTCGCACAGTTCCTGCTGAGACAATAGACTGACCATTGCTGTAGTAACTGTGTACCAACCTACTACGAGTCGCACAGTTCCTGCTGAGACAATAGACTGACCATTGCTGTAGTAACTGTGTACCAACCTACTACGAGTCGCACAGTTCCTGCTGAGACAATAGACTGACCATTGCTGTAGTAACTGTGTACCAACCTACTACGAGTCGCACAGTTCCTGCTGAGACAATAGACTGACCATTGCTGTAGTAACTGTGTACCAACCTACTACGAGTCGCACAGTTCCTGCTGAGACAATAGACTGACCATTGCTGTAGTAACTGTGTACCAACCTACTACGAGTCGCACAGTTCCTGCTGAGACAATAGACTGACCATTGCTGTAGTAACTGTGTACCAACCTACTACGAGTCGCACAGTTCCTGCTGAGACAATAGACTGACCATTGCTGTAGTAACTGTGTACCAACCTACTACGAGTCGCACAGTTCCTGCTGAGACAATAGACTGACCATTGCTGTAGTAACTGTGTACCAACCTACTACGAGTCGCACAGTTCCTGCTGAGACAATAGACTGACCATTGCTGTAGTAACTGTGTACCAACCTACTACGAGTCGCACAGTTCCTGCAATTTCCTTTCATTAATTATGATTTGAGGATTGGTCCCCTTTCATCTCTGTAAACATTCTTGAATATTTATGGACTAAATTGCATCAAACTTTGCCATAACATATGTTTTGAGGTGAATAAGGCTCTTACTGAGAATGACCTTGATCTGTGTTTAATTAATATTATGGCAGCTAATTTCTGTCCAGTTGATTAGTTTTTATGGGATAGTTTGAATATTTATTTTACTTTGCCAAAATATTTTTTTTGTGATACAGGCTGTTTTCGATCAAAGCCAAGCACATTTCACTTCTGCTTGAGGTATAACTTTCTCTTGTCGATACGAGAATGGACACAACAATAACATTGTTCTCTAATTTCAATCCTAAATGTTGCCCATTAACTGGTGAGGTACTATAGAATGCCTGCAGTACTATGCTTTGTACTGTCTTACTTTATAATGAATTTTAACATGAACAACATTTTTCTTTCCAAACATGTATGACTGTTGTGATATGAAAAGGTCCCAAAACTTGTGATGATAGGTTATCATGTTTAATTATTGTCTGTAAGCTCGCATGTAAAGTGAGCTTGGTAATGCCAAGGTGTAGTGTTCATATCGTCCGTCTACCATCATTTTTTGATTGAAACATTGGGACTTCGACTCACAAATATTGAACATCAAACATCAAGATCATGTACTGTATATAATACAGAATGAGATTCTTATGTGAAGAAACACAAGCTGAGAAATATAATTTTAAAGTATAAATATATATTTACATAAATATTAAACAATAGCCTGTTTATTAATACACTGTAGTTTGTTGATTACATGCACCATGTTGCTGAGAACGATTCTCATTGGCCATAGGTTTTCGAAAAGAAATTATATGACATTCAATTTTATTCAAAATTCACACAATTAAGTAAAAAACATCATAAACCAATAAACATACAGCCCCTAGACCTAAAATCTGCGAAATGGACCATTTTAGCAAACCATTGTCATGTTTATGATTGAAAAGTATCTTACAGAATGAACAACACTAATTGATTATGACTTTGTATCATAAATACTTCACACTGCTGTTTTAAGAAAACATTACTGAGATAATCAGTGTCGGTTTTTACCTGTAAATAATTAATACCGGGTTTTGTAACCTTGGTTGCCAGTACTTTTCACTGGAGACCGAAACATGTCTGTGAAGGTGTTTAAATGACCTCATTGTTCATTTATTAGTCGTAATTTTTAATGTTTTCATAATGTAAGGGCCTTGTTCATTCTTCGAAACAGCGAGAAATTTTGACTCATAAAAGTTTGACTCATGAATAAAATATATGTAGTGTTATACGGTGTATAAGGGAAAGTATCCGGACCTTGCCATAATTTCGACACCGAGATTTTGAATAATAGAAGTTCGATTTATGGAAGTTTGACTGTATTTTAACACAAGAATGCTAGTATAAAGGGCTATTAAGTTTGTTTGAAAGTATGACATTGACCCTCATTTAATATCACAGAGGTCACACATGTTAAAACTTTCAAGTAACTTTTGCATAGCCAAGATAATTTAAGGATTGTGGTTTTTGGCTGTTAGCATGTTCAGAGTAAATGGTATCAAATGAATTTGACTCATATTAAAGGCGACAGTGGTAAAATGAGTGAAAAGGGTAAAACAACTTCCTCTTAAGGTCCTGAATTCAAGCCTTGCAGCTTGTTGGGGTATGATACTTGAATTGTGTTTAAATTTTTGAAGTTAACATGAGTGAGGTTAGCTACATGTTTGCATTAATGATCAGGTGAACTAGATGTAAAGTGAAGAAAATCAGTTTGTAGACGTAGTGTAAATTTTCGTTTCAATGAATTCTACTTGGATTTTTTTTTGAAAACAACAGATGAGAGCTGGTTGCAAACAGCATTGAATAACATAGAAGTGATACAGGACCTTTGGGACACTTTGTTTTTTTTTATTTCCATGAGAAGGGGTTTCAAAACATAAACCTCATTTTGTTAAATTTTTCACACTTTGTTGATATTTTATCAAAATAAAGATTTGTAATACAGCATTTTCTTTTCTTGTAAATTAAGACAAGCACTCAAAGATAATGGGCATTCAAGGTAATGATCATTAGCAATTAATGGTGACACATTGATCATGTAACAATTACATCATGGTGACATATTGATCATGTAACATATACATCATGGTGACACATTGATCATGTAACATATACATCATGGTGACACATTGATCATGTAACATATACATCATGGTGACACATTGATCATGTAACATATACATCATGGTGACACATTGATCATGTAACATATACATCATGGTGACACATTGATCATGTAACATATACATCATGGTGACACATTGATCATGTAACATATACATCATGGTGACACATTGATCATGTAACATATACATCATGGTGACACATTGATCATGTAACATATACATCATGGTGACACATTGATCATGTAACATATACATCATGGTGACACATTGATCATGTAACATATACATCATGGTGACACATTGATCATGTAACATATACATCATGGTGACACATTGATCATGTAACATATACATCATGGTGACACATTGATCATGTAACATATACATCATGGTGACACATTGATCATGTAACATATACATCATGGTGACACATTGATCATGTAACATATACATCATGGTGACACATTGATCATGTAACATATACATCATGGTGACACATTGATCATGTAACATATACATCATGGTGACACATTGATCATGTAACATATACATCATGGTGACACATTGATCATGTAACATATACATCATGGTGACACATTGATCATGTAACATATACATCATGGTGACACATTGATCATGTAACATATACATCATGGTGACACATTGATCATGTAACATATACATCATGGTGACACATTGATCATGTAACATATACATCATGGTGACACATTGATCATGTAACATATACATCATGGTGACACATTGATCATGTAACATATACATCATGGTGACACATTGATCATGTAACATATACATCATGGTGACACATTGATCATGTAACATATACATCATGGTGACACATTGATCATGTAACATATACATCATGGTGACACATTGATCATGTAACATATACATCATGGTGACACATTGATCATGTAACATATACATCATGGTGACACATTGATCATGTAACATATACATCATGGTGACACATTGATCATGTAACATATACATCATGGTGACACATTGATCATGTAACATATACATCATGGTGACACATTGATCATGTAACATATACATCATGGTGACACATTGATCATGTAACATATACATCATGGTGACACATTGATCATGTAACATATACATCATGGTGACACATTGATCATGTAACATATACATCATGGTGACACATTGATCATGTAACATATACATCATGGTGACACATTGATCATGTAACATATACATCATGGTGACACATTGATCATGTAACATATACATCATGGTGACACATTGATCATGTAACATATACATCATGGTGACACATTGATCATGTAACAAATACATCATGGTGACACATTGGTCATGTAACTTATACATCATGGTGACACATTGATCATGTAACAAAAACATCATGGTGACACATTGATTATGTAACTTATACATCATGGTGACACATTGATTATGTAACATATACATCATGGTGACATATTGATTATGTAACACTTACATCATGGTGACATATTGATCATGTAACTTATACATCATGGTGACACATTGATTATGTAACATATACATCATGGTGACATATTGATTATGTAACACTTACATCATGGTGACACATTGATCATGTAACATAGTAACATATACATCATGGTAACAAGTACATTGATCATGTTGGTTTTAGTTAAGTAAATTCAATAAAAATGTTTTCATGTCCATATCATGATTTTAAGTTTTCCTGAAAACTACAGACTTTTAAGCAGTGTTCTCCCTAGGTTGTTGTAGTGTATAGCTTTTTTATTCCCTATCAATAAGGTTTCCAAAGTCCCCTCTACTATAGGTACATGGGCCTTAACGGTCACCTGATATATTTATACAGAGATGCAGGGTTAAAATTCCAATCAAGTTATTAACATGTAATATTCAAAGAATCATTTGCCATTATAAACCATAATAAATTTTGCCCCCTCCTTCCCCAGGGGGTAAACGTGAGACCCTAGGGTCATAAACCTTAAGACCCTTCCATCTATGAAGAGTGTTTGATTCTACCATATCTGGGTCTAGAGAAGAAGATTTTTAAAATTTTAGTCAATTTTCCCTTTTTGGCCTGGCCTCTCAGGCCCCTGGAGGCTGGGGACCAAACCGGCCACTATTTTTGTTGACCTTTGGCCATGGAAGGTTTCTGCAAAATTTCATTGAAATTGGTTCAGGGGTTTTGGAGAAGTTGAAAATGTAAATTGTTTACGAACGCACGCCGGACGCCGTTGGACAAAAGGCGATCAGTCTCAGGTGACCTAAAAAAGACACACCAATAGATAAATCCCAATGCCACTAAACATATTCTTTCTGGGAGTTAAATTTTTACACAGATCATATGATTATCTCCCTTTGTACATTTTGCATGTCATATTACATGCAGTACTTCAGCACTGTTGAAACAGATATTGCATCTTGACAAATAGATGTAATTTATTCATCAACTTTATCCACTGATGGTCTTGCTTTCTTCACTTGTATGTCTTTGTCTATTGTGTTGATAAGAGACTCGCTGTAGCGTTTCAGTACGGGCGGGACGTTGTACGGGACACCCATTAGGAAGCTGTAAGTAAACCAACTATTGGGGTTGGCTGCCACACCAAATTCTCCTTTGTTATTGCGTCTCAACAAGTTCACGACACGAATATGCCCCTCACCAGGAAACAGGTTGTTTTGGAATGGTATAGTCTGAAGCTTCCTTGCAGCCTCAAACTCAAACACCGGTTTGTTTAGCTTCTTCCTCTGTCTTGCCTCCTGAAATGTGAGAAGAATTCATTATCCGAGCATCTGTCGTAGTTTATTAGTTCCTATGATAGCATTCTAATTCGTTTTGCTGAAAAAAGATTATTACTTTGTGAAGAAAAGGTTCATTTGATATTTCTAATTACATTGAAAAGCTGTTGAGTAAGTTATTATAATGTGTCTAAGCTTCAGGTTGGTAAGTATGGATTATGAAAAGTTTCTTGTTACACAACCAATATTAACCAACATAATTATTATAATGGTATTAGACTTTTGTACTAATAAAATTTAAACATCAATCAAACATTGAATTGACACCAATATTTTCATGTTTGATCTTGAAATTAGTAAATATATAGTTAATAGTGTAATGTCTAGAGGTATCCCACCTGGCCTCCAAATATTCATTATATATCCAAAAGGTTATCAAAAGGCTTTATAGAAATATAAATTATGTTTCAAATTTAAGAGCAGTACCTCAATTGGTAGATAGGCATGAACAGTACTAAAATAAGCATGTTAACAGTTTTAGTTTGTAGGAAATGTTCTATCAACATCCTTCTCCTAACCACAGGGTAATGCGTCTCTTGCCTGTCAGGCCTAGATCTGCCTGTGGAATGTGTTGTAGCTATACCTACCTGAAGTATATGGCAGAATGTGCCGAGACATGAGGAGACATGCGTCCAGTAGGACGGCTGGAAGTAGACACGTTTGAGGAGAATCTCTTTTGTTTTGGTGCAAACTGCCATGAAATCACACCAAGGTACTCCTGCTAGGTACATCTGTCCTTGAATCTGTGCCATGTAATATCTAGGAATTCTCCCCCAATTTTCACCATAGCCAAACAAGTTATGTATAGGAGCTTTGAACTCACACACACCAATGACTTTCCCTGTTTTGTTAGTGACAACTGCATCTGGTGTAGCACCTAACAGCCCCTTGAACATGTCATTCTCCCGTGGAACCCAGAAACCTGACTCTCGAACCTGATGCGATTCATTAGTTCCCACTATCAGCTGGTAAGCTTCAAATATAGCAGTCTCAGTGTCTACTCCATGCTGTTTATTAGCCTTCTGTTCTGATCCTTCATCAGCTTGGGTGTCCTCTGACTCAGAATTTACAAGATAACAGAGGAAGTCAAATGACCTTCCTCTGCCAACCCCCAAGGCTTCCCCAAATCTGGATGCTGTCAGAACGACTTTATTTCTCTCTTGGAACCATTCCTCAGATCTTTGTTTCACATCTATCTCCATAGCGTAATGGAGTTAAACGTTTTACAATCTCCAGACTACAATTGTGGGGTGTTTACACCTGTGGTTCCTTGCTTGTACATCTTGTTTCAGTAAATCTAGAAACAATATAAACAAAACTGTTAACTTAACCTTTCAATGTCAATTTAAACTCACAAACATGCTAACTAACCTACGGATGATCTATGGCAATGCCTTTTATGTTAGCCCACTTCAAATAGTAATTTTTAGATTTCAACATTTGAATTGTTATTTTTCAACTTCTGAACAAAAGAAATTTTCAGAGACATTGAAATGCATGGAAATGGACGAAAGAAGTTTCATTTCATATGAAATAAAAGGAGATTAAAAATGCAACAGCCAGTGACAGTCCAGGGGCAATTCAGATCTTTAGAGAGATGACCAACTTCACTACCTGATCATCACACCAGTCGAGTTCAGTCACACAAAAATAAGCATCCTTCCAAATAAAAACAAATGGTCATTTTACCTGGATAGAGTTTGATTACTTATATATATCAATACGGTATTTTGCTTCAACTTAGGGTTCAAAATCTAACCTGATAAGTGGAACAACGTTGTCAGTTGTTGCAATAGCAGTGAAATTGTCTCCCCTTGTAAATTGAAATATTCATCACCATTTTAACCCTTAAAACAACTTATGGCTTTCAATAACTACAGGGGAAATAGGGTTCTGAATGATCTTTTTCTGCATAAATAAATAAAAGGTATCTGGTAGGCTTTAATCATCTGGTTGTGCTGCAGTACTATATGGATTGGTTCAAAACACTCGGAAGGCTTTCATAGTGTTTTATCATTACTGGGTCTTAGGGACATACCCTAGTACATATATAAGGTGAATTGGAAACATAACTCAGAAGAGCATGTCGCTTGTTTTCGGTCACCCTATGAGGTCCCCTTGACAGATGTACCTATGCTTATATCTACAAAGTTAACATATACTAATAATATAATTGTTTGGTAATGCAGCCATAAAAATTTAACCACAGAGCACTCATTCTTTTGCTCTATGTAAAGGGAGAAACAAAACATATTTGAATCATATCACTGGTAGTAGATGAAAGTGGTTAGTCATGAATGGCATTGTAAAAACAAAGAGGCCCAGAAGACCTGTATCGCTCACCTGGATAATATAGCAACCATGGGAAATTATTCTTATTACATAAAATCCCTCCAATAATACAGAAGAAGAAGGATTTAAAAGATTTAAACCTCAAATTTCCCTATTGGACCCCACAATTCTCAGCACTCAGAGGGGCATAACTCTTTGTTCATAAAAATTTAGTCCACTAATTGCCCAAGGATGCTCCAGACTAAATAAGGATGAAATCCCTTTATCCCTACGGTAGAAGAAGGATTTTAAAGGTTTTACCTTTATTTCCCCTATTGGGCCCCACCCCTCTGCCCCCAGGGGGCCACACCCACCGTTTATACAAAATTAAGTGCCCTAATGGCCCAAGCATGCTCCAGACCAAATTTCGTAAAAAAAGCTAGGGCATTGTTAATCAGGATAATTACCTAGTACCAGCTAGGGCATTGTAAATCAGGATAACTACCTGGTACCAGCTAGGGCATTGTAAATCAGGATAACTACCTGGTACCAACGAGGACATTGTAAATCAGGATAACTACATCAGGTTTGGCCCCATTTAGACTGTTGTGTTTTTAAACTTATTTTGAAATGAATGGCTGAGTATATACATGTATGACAAGTCATTTTGTTAACACAAGTACAGAAAGTTTTGGAGAATAGGAGATAGCCAGTTATTTCAGTCAGTAGGAACAACAGAGAGCATCCTCTCAGATCTGACCCACACACTTGGGTACAGTCATAGGAATCTGTTATTATAGTCTATTGAAAATGGAGAAAAGACTGTCAAAGCCCAAAAGCCTTTTACATTTATGTACGATTTATTTTTTGATTTTATAGTCTTTTCCTGATAACTTATAGACTAAATAATATTTAAGATTACTATATGGTATCACGGACTTCGATAACAATCTAATCTTCTAATCTAATTCTGTGATGGTATCTATATCTGTGTTGATACTGAGTTGACTACAATTCTGAAGATAGCACTCAGGGAGGGATTTCCCATGGGTGCAGAGGGCGTAAGTGAGCGTAACCCCTGGAGTTACAGAGGATTTTGGTAATCTTCTATGCCAAGAAAGTCTGGTGAAACCATAAAGAAGAAGAAAAGGTTGCATCACAGCCAAGTTGCATTTTGTTAATTGTTTACCTTGCTAAGGCAGCAGTGTACAGTAGAAATGGCTTGATCCTAAAAATAAAGGGTATGTCTCAGATAAACATGGATAGTGAATTCAACCTGCACAACAACATATACGATATACATATATCAGCTGTATATAGCCTATAAATATACAAAAAAAACGATTTTTAACCAAAATTTGACCCCCGCAAGGAGTAATTTTGTTCTTGAAACTTATCTGAAATCAAATATCACTTAAGTACTCGGTAGGCCTAACAGAAATACTCACAGGTCATTCCGGTGGATTTTTCACAATATTTACACATGTGCCGAGTAACAAAAATAGACTACATGAAAAGTTAGCTAATTCCCAAAACTGTAGTCTCAAACCAAATTCGATTTTTTTTTAAATTATGAAGCCCACATAGTCCATTTCAACATGTATATCAAAATTTTAGTCCTGTTTTTTTTTAAAATGTTGATACATGTAATATTACATTGGTTGGCCATCGTACGCTACTGTACGTATACACTGCTACAGCATCGACAGGAAAGATACACTTTTCATACCTCCGGAAAGTCGAGAGTTCGAATTTCTTGGGGAGGTGTCGTCAGTTTGGGAACGTTGCAGAACGTTTCATGAAAACGCTTTGTATAGAACACTGCTGAAAACTAAATCTCAGCTATTCATAGCAGAGAGTTAAATGTAAAATATATGTTTGTTTATACGCCGAATGAAGGAATATCACACGGACAAGTCTCAGAAGTTTTTTCAATTATTTCATTATTCAATGCAATTTTACGCCACTCAAATTCCGCATTCAAAAGTTACTTTTCAGACAAAATCAATAATATTTTCGAAAAATACTTTCTTCAAAGCCCGTAAATCGATGACATTGTTCTTGACATGAGTACTAGTAGGCCTATACGAAGCGACTTCCATAGTTTATTCATTTTGATGAAAGATATGAGCCATTGCAAACTACCATACAACTTTTTTCTTCCGATTCATAAATACATATTGTCCACTTATATATCTAACGTTAGGTGTGTGCAAGATTTAAGTTCGATCGTAACAGCAGAAAGTACCGAAATACGTTTCTTGTCAAATATTGAATGAGTGTCGAGGGAGGTGTTCGCGTGCCCAGGAATTCGTTAATTGATATTTTTTACTTCTGTCTTCTGATTTATAAATATTTTCCACTTACCTAGCTGTTGGCAAAATATCAGGTCGAACATAATAGCAAAATGTACCGAAATATAAGAAATATTATGGTAAAAATATGCGAGCTCTTTCACAACATGCATTACTTAAGGGAAGTAACTCGTGCGGACCTACCTGTAGAACTCTTAGCCATTCATATACACATAAAATTAAGGTAATGTTATAGGACGCAGTTCTACATAAGAGCCTATTGATTTGATTTTATGATTTAATTTATTATTTTTATTAACTAATTGCCATCAATTTCAAATATTTACATTATGTGTTTTCAAAATTTTTGTATTTATTATTTCTGTCTTAATTTTTATTAGGTAATATAATGGTTAACATTTACATCAATTTAGTCACAGTTAATTTTATATAAAATGTTAATCATTTGTTCAAATTTCACTTATCAAAACATTTAGTCGTCTTATGGTGTTGTAAAAATATAATCTTTACAATAAACTCACAATAACTTTATTGAATTCTCTATTACAAACAATTGAAATGGTTAATTGTTTAAAAAATAACGTTATACATATTACTGAACTGCTATTTGTTAATCCATATTGAATTCTCTATTACAAACAATTGAAATGGTTAATTGTTTAAAAAATAACGTTATACATATTACTGAACTGCTATTTGTTAATCCATTGATTAAGTTATAAGTACATATCAAAATATGTAATTTATAATGAAAGATTATTTTAAAATCGAAAGATTGAAAACAATTATTAACTGAATTTATTGCAATAATTTCATTGATACAAAATCTACATTTTTTAAAGATAGAAATGATTCGCTAGATATAAACCAATTTAATTTGTTGTCATGCAGTATAAACTTAAACAAGCTATGACTGTGACATAGTTATATAATTCATAACTCTTTATCAGACTAAAATTTAAATTAAAAAATATCCACCAGTTTGGCTTTAAATAGTATCCCCTATCTAAAGCCAAACTGGTGGATATTTTTTAATTTAAATTTTAGTCTGATAAAGAGTAATGAATTATATAACTATGTCCTTTCGGCATGCAAGACAGCGCTAACACAGGGACGATACCGGTGGAGACATGACCAGGTGCTTTGGGAATTGGCAGATGTTCTCGAGGTGGGAGGAAGAAGAAAAGACCACCTCGTAAACACAAACCATCCTTCATCCGGTTTGTAAAAGCAGGGGAGAAGGAGACGAAAGCAACATCAGGCAACACTGGCATTCTGGAAGGGGCAGATGAGAGTCGACCTGGGGAAGAAATTGGTGTTTTCGGACGTCGTACAGACAACGCTACGGCCGGATGTGGTGATATGGTCTGCCGAATCCAGGCAGATTATATATAGTCATCGAGCTGACTGTGCCCTGGGAGGAGCGGTGCGACCAGGCCAATGAGAGAAAGAGAGCCAAGTATACGGAGCTAATGGAACAATGTAGGGAGCGAGGGGGCCGTACTTGGCTGTTTCCTGTGGAGGTCGGATGCAGAGGGTTCCCGGCGCGGTCAGCCTGAAAGACATTGCAGGCTGTGGGATTAGTCGGAAAGACACGCAAGACGGCGGTGCGCAGGCTAGCCGAGGCTGCCGAGCGCGCATCATGCTGGTTGTAGAACAGACGGGAGGAGAAAGACTGGAAGCCATCCATTGACGGGCAGTGAGTTAATCGCCACTGTCGACCCACCATCACGAGGACGTTCCGGGACAAGGGTTGAAACGTCTAGAGACTGATGGACCCGGCTGATGATGTCAATGGATTCGCAGTATTTCACCAACTGTATAGGTACATGACGTAAAGTTATGTATAATCAAATCAATATTAATGTTTTAAATTAAATATATTACATTAAACTGAAAAATTTAAAATCTAAATTAAAGGATATTTAATTAAAAAATGTGATAAAAATCTTATGAAACATAGTTGATAGCCCCCGTCTTGCGGTTGGCATAAACTATATCATTGTTTGCTGGGAAACGGGGCATGCGATATGGGAGTGGGGCACAGAGGAGGATACTCCTGACCTCCTGGAATCTCAGTATATACCAAATCATGGGCAGACGAGTAGCAGTCACCCTGGTATAGCCTCCCTGGGTATCCTTGGGACTTACAAGCTTTATGGTTATTAAAATGTTTTCTATTTAATGAACAGAACTCCCCGCCTGAGGTCGGAACAAAGACGTTGCAGCAAGCTATTGTCTTTCGGTGGATCCTATACTTATATGTTTGTTATGATATCGATAAGCAAATCTAGTTATAGAAACTTCAATTTAACCATCCCCATGTTACTGACTTAGATTTTTTTCCCCTGGGTATCCAAAGGGTCCTACCCTATGCATGGTATATGCCCTATGACAGACGACGTTGACGTAGGGAACATCAGCCGGTATGAAATCATCGACAACAGGGACGTCCGCTACTGTGTGCTCAGCACCACAACATCAGCGTATGAAAACATCACGATGTCTGGCCTCAGCCGGATGAAGCGATACATGGCCCTATAGATTTATAGCTGTATACTTACTCCACACATGGTCCTATAGATTTATATCTGTATGCTTACTCCACACATGGTCCTATATATTTATATCTGTATACTTCCTCCACATCTGGCCCTATATATTTATATCTGTATACTTACTTCACACCTGGTCCTATAGTTTTATATTTGTATACTTACTACACACATGGTCCTATATATTTATAGCTGTATACTTACTACACACCTGGTCCTATAGTTTTATATTTGTATACTTACTCCACATCTGGTCCTATATATTCATATCTGTATACTTACTCCACACCTGGTCCTATATATTCATATCTGTATACTTACTCCACATCTGGTCCTATATATTTATATCTGTATACTTACTCCACATCTGGTCCTATATATTCATATCTGTATACTTACTCCACATCTGGTCCTATATATTTATATCTGTATACTTACTACACACCTGGTCCTATATATTTATATCTGTATACTTACTCCACACATGATCCTATAGTTTTATATCTGTTTACTTACCCTACACCTGGTCCTGTAGTTTTACATATGTATACTAATACGTATTGCATTGTCAATTCATTGTCGGCGAACTATTGCGAAGAGGACACTTGCTGACGCATGTCACATTAGATGTTTGTCTAAGCTTAATAGTAATATTCTATTCTACCGGCAAAGCATCATTCGTTTGTAGATTGCAGTAGTATCAAAGAATTTTATGATAATAGTGCTATTTATGAACATTAATTTAACATTTCATCTCATTCATTATTTTGGATTTCCTCTTACAAACTTTCGCCATTTAATTTCGTTCAGTAACAATTGCATACCTAAAAGCTATTTAATTACATTTGTACCATTTAAGAAAACCTCTATGTGTAAATGTAGCTTCTTTGATTCATTGTTGTCAGATTAACTCATGTAATATTGGTGTCCATCTTATACATTATACCTTTCAAGTCAATTATGTTACGTAATGAGATTAACTGGTCTTACCAGAGACGTATAAATACAGAGATTGGCAACTCTCGCTGATCTCGCAAAATCACGCATGATCTACGAGTGTTTGTTTTGACAGCTTATCGACCTGGTGACGATAGTCTGGTCAGTGAGTTACCTGTGTGAGAGTTTGATCGTGTATTCGTTAGTTCGTGTCAACATGTCACTTATCCTAGATATATGGATCATATAAAGAAGCTGGTTAGAAATATAATGTTATATCTGAATACGTTTTTGAAATAAAAAGATGAACGAGAAAGGAGTGCCGGTGTCATGAAAGGAATTAACTCTCGCACATCACAGCCGCCATTTTCACATGGTTATTTTAAAGTGTATTTTCAGAGCTCAATTATCAAACTTTGCAGGTATTGTAACAACCTCATTTTAATTTCCTGGTTAGAAATATTATCATATAACTAATTTCTGAAAACTTTTTTGAAATTGTCTAAAGAAAAAAAACGGAGATAGTGTTATCCTGAAGCCAGAATAATTACCGATATGTAAACACAGCCACGATTTGCAATCTTTCGATGTTTGGGGTTTTCTAAACTTAATCATTCAATGTAGCACTCCCAAACCGCATGGAAATCTCAGCTACATTTTGTAGCTACGTACGGTTTTAATGTTACGTTGATTTTCGATGTTTTCTCATGGCATAATTATGATTTGAGTTGAATGCAGCGAACCGCATATCCAATATGGCGCAGGTGAAGCGTAACTCTCGATACCAGTGACCAATGGTAAGGCCAAGAGCAAGTTGCCAATCTCTGTATTATACGTCTCTGGTCTTACCAAGTATGACACTTAAGTCTCGGACAAAGGACAGGCTAATTGCCTTACCTGTTCGGGTACTCA